GTAATTTTTTATGATCAATAAGTAATCGTCTGTAGGTAGTTGGTTTTCATTGTTTTCCAGTGGTTAGCACATTTCGAGCAGATTGCTAATTCAAAAACATGGATTTTAGGACATTACCAGCTGTACCTGATAAAGAGATAGCTTCCAATAAACTAAGATTGCAGATTACTGATAATAACAAATTTTAGATATGTTGCTTTTTGCAGAGAAATTAAATAATAACAGTAATGTTAACGATAAATTAATGTATCGTTAATACAAAATAAATAGTAATAGCATAGATAAAATGCTTTTGTTTATTCTGCGCAAAAGTCTTGTGCGCTTTCATGTGAATGCTAGATATACAATACGATAAAAAAAAATGGCGTCAGAGCTGCCTTGGAAATAAAGATAGCTGTCATTTTGTATGTAAAATTATATAGGGAATGTCATTGATCGTCATTTCCAAACGAACTAGACGCTGTTTTTTTATCATACGGTTCTTGCGATAAGTCATAAAACTTAACTTACCCTTTATTAAGGCTCCAATCATTGTAATATCGACATGGAAGCTTAAAACTGGTTAGCGAGTATATTTTAGTTTATTATTATTTTATTATAGAATGGAAAACTGCCTTGTTAAATGTTTGGAAGAGAAATCTTTTTGAAAGAGTTTCAAAAACATTTTCAGATTGGCTCTAAGACTACGTCTAATAAGCATTTAAGAGATTTTATCACTACCATTTTGATGACAAACAAAAGAAAAATAGGGAACCAAGCCGCAAAAGAACTTCCCGAAATATAGACAGTCCAGTAAAATTATTAGTAACTATATCAAACAATTTCTTTCAGACACAAAATTAAAAAATATGGGATTGGGAGGTAATAAATCCAAAAGAAAACACGTCTTAATTTTTTTCTATTCATATGTTTTTTTTTGATAATATGTTTTTCTTTGACTCAAGTTGTTTAGTAATTTCTACAATATACAGAGTAATCCACCATGATTTCGCCATTAATATTTATCTAACAGAAAGTATTTTTTTAAGCTAACAAAATTTTAGTTTAATTTTATACTAAAAATGACAAATTGAAAATTGCTTCACGAAATTTTTGAAAATCATATTGCTTATTTTAAATGGAATACACTGTATAGTTTTAATTTTAGTATTAAATATAATTTCTATTCAAGTCTGTTTTTGTATCATTTTCAGTAACAGTTCTCGATATATAACCTACTGTAACGCAATGTGCAGACAAAAGTATTTCGTTTTCGTAAATCACCGACGCATGAGGGTTGGGACTAGTCTAATACGTCGGAACTTTATCAACCGTCCGTCGCTGTACCCGACCTAATCCGAGCGGCTAATGTGTCGGCGAATTCCGAATATGCCCCCGGGCCCCCGACAGGCTTAGTCCCCCACTGCATCTTTTATACGTGTCCATGAGTGGATCCAACATCTAACATCCAACCTGATCAATAAATTAACATAGAGAAACAAAAAAAAAGAACCGAGACTCGAAATTATTAATTCCTGGTTCTTTCGGGACTCGGTAATAATAATTAAATAAATATTTTTTATTACGTGCGAAAAACTTTTGATATTTTCTAGCGGTCGAAATCAAACTCATCTAAATAAGTATTAGTGATGCTATCACTTACTGTTCTTACTTCTGAAGTTATTTTAAAATTTCTATAATGGTTTATTAGCAATTAAATATGTTATTTTATTATTTAGTATAATATTGCTAAATGTATCAATTATACAGGGTTGTTCACCACATACGACACGGAGTATTGTAGCTAAACGATGAGATTTTTACAAATTGTAAGTTTGGGTTTCGTTCAAGGACTATTAGAGCTACAATTTAAAAATATTTTTACAAGATACAGAGTGTCCCAAATAAATAAAAAATATCAAAGTTGTATTTTTTTAAATGGAACACCCTGTATATTATTACATTTTTAGTTTCTACGATTAAAATAAAGGTAAATTTGATTAGAGTTATATAGAGTTATATATTTTTGAAATATTTTCAATTTTGTGAAATTGCAGTAAAAATTTTAAAGCTTCATTTCTTCAAGGGTATCAATGTTTTTAATACTAAATATTTAATGAAGTTTATTTATTGATCAGTTATTGTGTTGCAATAATAAAAATAATACTACCTTATACAGAGTGTCTAAAAATGTATTTTAAATAATTATTAGCTTCAAACGGCAATAACTTCTTTAATTTAAATAGAATGCCCAATTGAATTGTCTATCAAATTGTATTATACCATTTTTTACCTATCCCTTCAAGTTTTCGTAGAAAATGCATTTTCTTATAATTTAGACCTCATTTATCAATATATCCATGGAATATTGACATTTTAGATTGTTTTTAAAGCAACAAATGTACAAAATGTACAGACTAGTAATATTATCGTTTTTAGCAAAACGATAATATTACTAACCCATTTGTATGCAAAAAGAAAACTATTTAAATCTTTATAAAAGAGTATACCATTAATTAAATATAACACCATTATTTCCGCCCATATACTAATTAATTACATACTTAATTGTGTTAGTTAATAAATTATTATAAATAAATGTGGATTTGAGTCAGAAATCAATATAATAATAAGTTATCAAATTAAAGTCTCTGTTGTTATAAATAAGCATTTATTAAAAAATGAAATATCATTTTTAAGGTGTTACTTTTATCACACTGTCTAATGCCCATACAAAATTCAGTTTTTAGTATTTGGAGCAATTATTATTAATCAACGCAAACAGTCAGTTAATGTAGTTTGAATACTGGAATCATATTAATTGATCCTCTTTAACAAATATTTAAACAGTTTTTTTATTTTTTAATGAAATAAACGAATTATATCGACAATATTAGTATCTTTAAAAATTTGGTACATCTTTAAAAATAATCTAAAATGTCAATAGTCCATGGGTATATTGATAAATAAGTTCTAAATTACAAGAAAATGCATTTTCTACGGAAACTTAAAAGATAGGTAAAAAATGGTATAATATAATTTGATAGACAATTAAATTGTGCATCTGATTCTCGTAAAATATACAGGGTGTCCCTTTAAATTAAACAAGTTATTGCCGTTTGAAGCTAATAATTGTTTAAAATAAATTTTTAGACACTCTGTATAAGGTAGTATTATTGTTATTATTGCAACACAATAACTGATCAGTAAATAAACTTCAGTAAATATTTAGTATTAAAAACTTTGATACCCTTGGAGAAACGAAGCCTTAAAATTTTTACTGCAATTTCACAAAATTGAAAATATTTCAAAAACGGTAAGGTTTAAGTATAGTAAACCTTAATCAAATTTACCTTTATTTTAATCGTAGAAACTTAAAATGTAATAATATACAGGGTGTTCCATTTAAAAAAATACAACTTTGATATTTTTTACTTATTTGGGACACTCTGTATCTTGTAAAATTATTTTTAAATTGTAGCTCTAATAGTCCTTCATCGAACCCAAAACTTACAATTTGTAAAAATCTCATCGTTTAGCTACAATACCCCGTGTCGTATGTGGTGAACAACCCTGTATATTATTTTTGTGTTATGTTTTTAGAGGCATTTACATCTTACATGTTTAATTGAAAAAGTTGGTTGATGTAATTTTTAAGCTACCTATGTGTTTTCGTTTTTTTTTGCTTGTGTTCATTATTTGTGTTCATGTTTACTGTCTCATGACTTAATAATTTGATATTACTTTCAATTGAAACTCAATTTTTTATCGGTTTTACTTTTGAGAACCATGCTTGCTAATTGACGAACTCCACAATCATTGAACGAAAATATTCTAGTACGGTTCCGGAAACTCTAATTAATACTACCAAATAGGGTTCAGATCTTTTTGGCCATCACAGAACCAGGCCTCGGTAACAATAATTAAAAAATTATTTTTTTGTTACGTGAGAAAGTCCTTTGATACTTTCTAGCGGTCGAAATCAAACTCTTCTAAATAAGTAATGATGCTATTTCTTATTGTTCTTGCTTCTTTTCTTTTTTGAAGTTCCTATAATATTTATTATGTTAAGTTAAAGAAAACGGCCTTGCGTGACCATCTTTTGATGCGTGTCGAATACTCGTCAGCGAGTAATGGCAGTATGTATGTATTATTATGTTATGTTTTAATATAGATATTTGCATTTTTAATTCAATATTTTAGGGTTTTTATCTCAAACTCAGTTAAATTGGTTTATGTTGTTTGATATGAAATTTATGTTACCTATATACTTTTTTCTTTACTTGTCTTCATGTTTGTGTTCATGTTAATTTCCTCATGACTGATTAATTTGATATTAATAATTTGACATTATTTTCATTAAAAATCTCAATTTTTTATCCCTTTTACTTTGAATAACCATCCCTTGCTTTCTGACTGATGAACTGCACTACCATTGAACTAAAATTAATCAGTACCGAAAAACCCGAAAAAAAACATGCACCTAGATGATAAAATTATTTTTAAACTCCTTGCCTTTTTAACATATTCTAGAGGGTGTTCTAATCTTTCACCAAATTAACAACATTTTGTTTTCCATCGTAGAATTGAGAGATGTATATTCTTCAAAAGCGAATATTTCCAACAAAAATAAAGCTATTAAGATGAACTAAAAAACAAATTATCCAGAAACGATGTACCTAGATAATAAAATAGTTTTTAAATTCCTTGCTGTCTTAACATATTCCATAAGGTGCTTCAAACTTTCGAGTATTAAAAAAATGATTTTATTTCAAACAATTTCTTTTTCAGTTAAAAATGGTAGATATATGTGAATATGTGTTAAACCTCTTAAATACCTTCCCGATTACGATTCAAATACAATTGTGATCGATGAGATTTAATCTCGATCATCTCCGATATTTCTCACATTTTAGGAAGTGACGCAATGGGCAATTGTCACGTGTAAAAACATCAATTGTCACGTGTAAAAAATCTGATGAGGCTATATATTTACCGAAAATATCAGAATTACGGCAGTTCGCAAAAAACTCTCGGTTTGAACGCTTTTCGTTGGTGTTTTCTCCCTTCCCCTCGCGTTGTTGGTGGCCAATAATAATTGCCAAGCCATCTGCGATCCTTCGCTCGCTAGTTTGGCCAAGTCGAATAGGTTCGCGCGCGGCGCGCTTTTATTCTCAGTCCGTCTCTGAATTGGATAGCAACGTTACGTTTCTGTCGCGCGCTCTGTGATTTCTGTGATACACGATTATTTGATTACTTTCGAGCCCTAAAGAAAAATCGACAAAATGGTTAAAAAGAGCGACAGTTCCGCTGCTTTACACAAGCCTTATAAGGTAGGATCAATTTTTTAGTTGATTTTTAGGAAAAAAACTGCAAGCGACATTTTTATGAAAACAGTTTTTCGTGTTCTTTCAAAATGAAAAAAAAATAATAACTGATCGTTATTTTAGTTATAGAATTTAAAACAAAAAAAATATTATTCTCTGTTATTTCTACAGAATTTTAAAATACCAGTTCAATGTTCACAATAACTTTAATGCCTCATTAGCAAGTCGTTTTTTGGTTTACTTTCATTAAAAATATAAAAAGATAAACTTTATTAGCAGACCTAGAACATTATTTTTAGTTTTATTCACAAACCGCAATTAAAAACCCACGAACCCAAACCACTATCTCAACTTTCATTTATAAAAACAGTACCTATATCAAGTTACCAAAAAAAAATCGCCTACATTTTTTTATTTATTATCTTCTAGATATTACAGAAATCATTTGTTTCCCACAAATTTTAAATCAAATCTGACGTAACATTACATCATCGCATTATCACAATATTATCAAAACTATACGGGGAGATTCAAAACTGGAGTTTATTTTCTTACCCTCACTGTATAATTTTCGAAAATTCTACGAAAGCCGACTATTATTAGAGAACTTACGGAATTTTAACGGTCTCTCTCGCTCTCGAGCTGGAGGATTATATGGTTGTATTGGTGCTGGTGACGTCATCCCCAGTGGAAAAGTACTGGGCGAAGATTTTTTTATTGCAGACGTTTAGCAGACGAAAGCTCCGCACAGTGGCGTGCCGCGCAGTACCGAATTTGTTGAAATTTTGATTTTTCTAGTATATTTCGTTTAAGTATCAATATCTTTATTAATATCACATTCTGTGCAGATTTAAAATCATTTACAGTCAATATTACCGACATTTTATTCACTAAAAACATCAGATATTAGTAATTTTACCTTATACTGACGTGGATTGGCCTAATTTAAGCACAAACATTTAACAAAACTTTGTAAGCACAAAAATAAAGAAAATATAAGTATTCGCAACATCCTAAGTCAGCAGCTATCATAGATAAGAGAAAATAACCATCTATTAAGATAGATATAAAACTTAATAGTAAAACAGTCAAACGTGTCAACAGTCAAAATTCATTGGAGGCGTCAAATAGTATCATAATTTTATTTGCATATGATAAAATTTACTGTATATTCCGCAATTTTTTTTCATTAAAACTACTTATTAAAACCGGTATTTTGGTAGATTTTTCTTCTTAAAAATCCACTGTCCGTTAAGCCGAACGGACTGAATAATTTTATTAAAAACACTTTTTTAAAATTATTTTATTATAAAATAATGCTAGGAAATATGTTATCTGTTAAATCCATTTTAAATAAGTATTATGATTTTTGTATCAGTTTTTACATTATCTTATCAACTTTTAATATCCGATATGGTATCATACATATAATCCTAATATTTGACATTGATGGCGCTTATTTATCAACTTTATCACAAAATGGGTTTTATACTTACTTCTAATATTAACAAATATAATAGAGTATTAATATGACAGAATATGTGCTATTTTATAATAATAATAATAATAATAGCTCCCGTATAAAGCGTTTAACGCCTGCGCCTTGGGAGTAGCAAGGTACAGCTTGCCATGCTAAAAAGGATGGTAATGTGGCTAGCACTACGTTTCAACCGCCTATTATTACCTTAGGATTGTGAATCCCAAGTACTCATTCAGAGACGGCTAAAAATTAAAAAAGGATATTTTTTCTCGAATTTTAAACTACATCATTTAAAAATAATTTTTACTCAATATAGAAATAAAGTATAATCTTCCTAAGGCCATCTGACAGTAAACACCATTGAAAAATCAAGACGGGTCACGTCTAGGGCTTGACCTCGCCAAAATTATCATCGGTTGTGATTACCCAACCGTATTTGACGTCGTTTTTTTTTTCGATCGTATGGTTTGGTTTGGTTGGTTGGTTTAAAAACTAATTTTATTTTAAATGAAACCTAAAATGTCTAAAAACGAAATTAATTACTGAAATAGTGCGACGAAAATTCGTACCAAATTATTGCAAAAAGCAGGTAGTGAGCTAAATTGCATTTAAAATTATTATTCCTATTTTATTGCATGCAAGGCCATGCCACGGCATTGTTAATAAGTTTATCGACTAACACCGAACCAATATAGAAAAATATTTTGTTTAATTTAATTCCATTTAAGTTTGTGTACCCAAGTTATATAAAGCTAGCGCTATAGGACGAATGAATCCATCTATTACATTCCAGGACAGATTTAGATATTTATTTTCGTATATCGGAATGCCCCAGAAGGCTTATTTTTGTACAGGGTCGGATTCAAAAACAAAAATTAAGGAACTTTTATTTATACATGCGAGATTTACATTAGATTTTTGAGGTGGCACGGAGACCTTTTGAGGTCCTCTTCTGATTTCTGGATTACAATCAAATAATGAGAGACTAAATACTCCATATAGATCTTCATCAAATGTAAAGGCTTATCACTGCATAATACAAAGAACGGCTCATTTACCAGACTGTCTCTCTAACATAAAATGTGTCCTGTCATTTCTTCTTAAGATTGGCAAGATCTGCACATGGCTTCATGTTCATTAATCCCATCAGATTTATATATGTAGCCTTTCTAACGAAGTGGTACTAAAATGGATTAGTTTAAAGCAACGTAGTCAGTTTTACAGCTAATATTTTCCAACTATTAGTAATGGAGACATGCATCTCTGAAAGATCAAAGAATTACACGAAGAACATTAAAGAAGCTGAACAAACTAGGTAAAGGAAATCAAGTCCTCCTACTCTGGGTGCCCGCCCGCAAAGGGATAGAATGTAATGAAAAAGCAAAAGATCTATCTAGAAAAGGTTCGGATCTCCACTAACTGGACCAGAACCTTTGCTTCCCAAGTGCAAACCAACTTAAAGCAGAACTCAAGAAGCTGGAAAACTCCATCCATAACCTGGAGTGGGAATCCCCCAAAGTCTAAGACACTCGAAGAAATTTCTCAGGACTTACGACCGAGAAAAATCAAGAGATTTTCCTTGATTTAAGTCAGAACAATCTGCGGATTGTAACAGGGTTTTTAACAGGACACTCTGTCTACTGAGAGATCAATATTGGGGCTATCTCTGAGAGACAAAGTACCGAATATCGATGTACGGGAGACAGAACAAAAGCGATGGATGCCATAGAGAAAATAATTACTTTAAAATGGAATTGGGTTTGGCACATTGCAAGGATAAACAATGAACGGTTCGGATGGAAGACATGATGCATTCAGGAACAGTGGCTGTCCCCCAATCAGATAGCTTGACGACTTAAGGCGTATCCACAGTACTGGATGCAAATAGCTCAAGATAGACAGTTATGGAACAAACGAGGGAGGCCTACGTCCAGCAGTGTACTTTAGTGGCTGATTGATGATGATGATGGTGATGACCAGGCGGATGAAACTGCCATTTGAATTTTGGAAACACGGCGGAGTTTCTGCCAGTAGAGGGATAGATGGCGCTGCGTAGAAATTTCATCTAAAGTCCCTAGATATTCATCTAGGGACTTTAATTTCATCATGATTTTATCAAGTCATCCACAGAGTTTAGTTTAATTAACAATTCGTTTGATTCTCTGTGGAGTAATTGGAGTAGTTGGAGTAGTTGAAAAATATAAATATTTATATAAAATGTTGATAATTTAACAGTGATGTGCTTTGTTACCCTATGAATAAACATTGATATGAAGTTGCTTTCGCCAGAAACAATTATAATTAAATAATTTAATAAAAATTTAATTTCTAAGTGAACCGGATCGGTTAGATCAGTAAAATAAATTGAAAAATAAACGTCATTCCATATTTGGCAATGTCTGTCAGTTTCTGTGAAGTGGAAGTGAATTGTGATTTGTTTTTATGGGAATATTTTACGGATTTTTGCGAATTTAGAGTATTTTGGACGATAGGATTGTTAAATTTAAAAGCCAAGTAGTTTCAATATATAAGATTAATTAATCCCTGTGATAATTTTTATGAAATTTCTCATAATCAAAACAAATTCTTTCAACAAAATGGCTGTCTCAGAAATTTGGAAGATCATTAATTTTAAAGTTTTATTTAAGTGTATTTATATCGAATCAAGAATTTGTATAACATATTAAAAGCTTAATTTTAAAGGTTGTGCAGTAATTTATGTAAGTGTACGCTTTTAGATAAATATTAAATATACAAATTTGCAAAGACAAACAAGTAATTTTAAAAAGATCATTTATTTATTTAAACGAGTATAATCATTAATCATTAGGTTGAAAATATATTTGTATTTACTTATTTATATATTTTCTATACCCTTGTATTATTTATAAGCCCTATATGTCCTGTTTTATTTGAAAAAAAAATGCTTCGAGTCATCGAGAATAGATTTAATAACAATTTTGTCCCTTGGCTTTGTGTATTATATAATGTGAATTGTAAGATGTTTCTATTTGAATAGGTCATTAAAGTTGAGATTAAAGTTATACCAAATTATATTCACGGTAACTATATGTCTTTTATATAATGAATTATTTATTTATAATTTATAACCTTTTTTATAATTACTTATAACTGATTGTATAAATTCTGATAACTTTTATATATACTTGTATAGTGTTGAATGTGTTATATGTAATTTTATTAACAATGTTATAAAATAAAATAATCAAGTTACAAATTTTTCGTGTTTTATTCTAATTTCAGGGATAATTTCAACCTAGATTATTAATTTATTTGTATCAAAATACATTATTTTTATTTTGTAAAATGTTTTGTTACAAATAAGTTCATAATCTAGATTGAAATTACCAAATATAAGTAAAAAACTTATGAACTGGCAGTAAAGGTCCATTTATAAAATATGGCGCGAACTTTTAGTTCTGCCAGTAGCCCGCTTGGATCGCGTCGAGCGCGTGTTTCCTGGCTTTAACATAGGAGTTTTCATTTCTTTCAGTTAGTTATTCTA